CAAGCGATTACTGGCCAAGTGGGTTTTGTGGATGCTGAATTCTGTACAACCTGTGGGGGAAAGGGAGCAGACAAAAGATGCTCAGTATGCAAAATGGTAAGAATAAAAAAAAAATAGTTGCACTGAGGTGCTGAGGATTTTGTATGCTTCTCTATTCACTGTGTGTGTAGACTTAGGAAGAATGACATGCATGCCTGCACTGAAGACGTTCAGACCATCTACTTCTGGGAAAGATGCCTGAAATTCACAATTACGAAGGAGTACTTGGATTTCCAAGCGTGTATGCTTAAGAATGAAGAAAGAGCAAAAATTCTCTATGTTTAGAGTTAATAAAAAACTGCTCTTTATAGATTCTTATGTAGGTTAGAGCCACTCCATATAACCTTAAAAATTGCTTAAAAATAACATTAAGTACTATACATAGACTTGCTGCACTAAGAAATGCAAAGAAATTCTTTTCATACATGAAAATTAATTGGTAACTCTGGTAACTTTCAGGTGATGTACTGTGACCAGAACTGCCAGAAAATACACTGGTTTACCCACAAAAAGGTCTGCAAAATCCTGAAGGAAATTCATGAGAAACAAGAACTAGAAGCTGCCAAAGAGAAAAGGAAACAAGAAAAGAAGCAAAAGAAAGGTTAGGATCTGTTGTTCCCTTGCTGAAACTAATGCTATGTTAACTGCATCACAAAGAGCAATTTAACAGGTCTTAAAACTGTAACAGCTGAGGTTGGGAGAAAAATCTTTGATGAAACATAACAGCAAAGCTGAGTTTGTTGGGATTCTGGCCTTTAAATTACAAATGCTGTATACTTTCCAAATGTGGCTTTTAATGATGCAGTTACACAGATTTCTACAATGGAAGCCTTTTGATTTACACTGCACTGTTTCAAAATCCAAATCTTTAATCAAGCTATTGCAGAACTTTAATGCTACTCTATGTTTTGTGGGAGGTGTTAAGACAAGTTGGAAAATAAGCAAGTCTCCTTCCTGCTGCAAAGGTTAACATAGGTGTTAAATCTCCCATTAAACTTCTCTTCATAATCACAGTATCAGGTTAATTGTGTTGTGTGCTTCGAATGTGAGGAAAGCAAGCAGTAGTCTTTAAACTGCTCATGGTGGTTTTCTCCCTTCGAGAAACAAGTAATTAAAACATAATAACCTAATAAACACTGTATTGCCCCTTCCCATGTTTCTCCAAGTGAAATAATAGGAAAGTAGGGTATGAAATCACTTTTTCTCTTTTACCACTTACTGGATTTCCCTTCCTTTGTTTTAAGGATTGTTGAAGTGCACTGCACAAATCATGTTGCCTTACAATGGTAATGTTGTTCACTTCAGCTGTACTCAGAATAGCAGGATATAAATCAGTAATAAATCAGAAATAATAAAAGTTTTCAACAGTTTCCACTGCTGATCCTGTTATGAGAGCTGCTGTTGCATGAGATCAGGATGACTGTGGAAATTGGAGGCAAGGATATTAGAAATCCCTGGATATATTGCATACCAGTACAACAAAACATAATGGGCTGTGAGCAGTGATGCCTCACGGGCTGTCCTTTCCAGAGGGAGGGGCAGGATCTCGGTGGATGGCTCTTCTCCCTTCCTGCCTAAAAAGGGAAGCTAACATTTTTTGTTATGTTTCTCCTCCATTATCTACATGTTAATCTCCATTAACTGATTCAAGTAGACAGCCAGCACATTATAGACCTTATCCAATTATGCACTGTCAGTAAGACACTGAAGTCATCTGAACTTCAGGTCACCTTGTGAATGGTATAGTATCAGAGCATTTCATATCAACAGCAGTTTTATGTCAGAAAGTTAGTAATACCCCCTACAAATCTTGTACATCAGGAAAGTAATAATCAAAAAAAACCCAAATGCAACAGCTGCAACTACAAGCAAACCCATGACTTTAAGAGTTTCTGCTGTACAGGGGTGAGTGTCAAGAAAGTCCCCATTTCAGCCTGTGCTGAAGGCTCTTAGCTCACTGCCACGTAAGACCTTGGCAGGGCTGTGGCCAGCTGGCTGCGACTGTTCTTGGCTGGCTATCAATCACATCAGAGAACAATAAACCAAGATATAACTACTTCTCCCAATTAGGCTTTCCTCTCCTTCTTTTCAGAAGTCCTAACATGCAAGCCCTACTTAGTAGAATCAGGTGAAAAAAGTTATTTAACATTTTTTTTTTTTCTCAGAAAACATTGCTTGAAGAGTAAAGGTGCAATAGCTTATTCTGTTCCACACAGTCAAGTTATGAATTTTAGGATGACTCATTTCAACCAAAGTTCATTGTTTTTAAGCACTTAATTTCTTCAGTCTGTTTTATGCAGAAATGCTTCCTATGTAGTCATGCCTATGTCTTTTTGATTTAAAACAAACCCCACTTGTACTCGATGTTTAACTGCCTTGCAGCCATTCTTTGAAAAGCTGGTGATAGGAATAGTGTCAATAAAGCATGTTTGAATTGAAAGTTGAAAGAATATAGTATCCTACTTTGCTCCTCTCTATAATTAAAAAAAAAAGTAGTCTGGCAAAAATGGAAGATAAATTAATGAGAGCTTTGTATAGGGCCAGTTCCAGAATAACCTTCTACCAACTTAAGCAAAGCTTTAGTGCTTTGGGTTTTTTCATTGAAGATTTTCTAATTAAATCACTTCTGTAATTGATACGAAGTATCCTAGTATTATTGTTTTTCAATAAACAATAAAAATGTTTGCTTTTAAGGGAGTTCAGTGTTTATTAATTGTGTGATTTCTCTTTTGTTCAGATGAAATGCAACTAGTAGAGGGTAGTTCTACAAGTGAACAACAGTCAGATCCTGGTCCAGATCCTACAAAAAACGTGGATCCAAATCATCCTACTGATGGAACAGAAGAACCTGAATTGACCAAAGAGATGGAGGCACTAGGCCTGCAGCCTGAAAGTCCACTGGAGAGTGAAACTGCCTTAGATGACATTGATCTTCAAAAAATTCAAGATTCTGAGGAGTAAGAAGAGGGTAGGAAGGGACTGAGAGTTCTCAAGGGTACTAAAGAATTTTTTATGCTGACCATATCTGAGTTCTTGGAGCATGGCTTATGCAAGACTTCTTTTAAAAGACAGAATGACTCTGTTCATCAAGAGATAGAATACTAGCTACTTTGTCCATAAATACTCCAAGTTTTGTTGTAAATTGTCAAGATAGGTATTTATTATCTGCTAAAAATTAGTGGCATAGATCCATCTGTATGTATACCAACAATAAGCCTAGTGAAACTCTTGAGTTTCTGTGGTTAATGAGCCACATAGTGAAAAATGAACAGCATTTGATTTGGATTATTCATGTTTTCCAAACTTAAAACTTACTTTAATTGTAATTTAAAATTTTTTTTCTGCAAGTTCATAGACATGTAGTTAAAAGCACTGGAAGGCAAATTATTAAATTGCTTTTTTTCCAGCACTTTATGAAGCTTTATCTGAAGGAATTCAGTAGCAATTAAGTTTCTGAAGATGCTCATCTGAATTCTCAGTTTTTCATGACATTACTGTAAATATTTTTGACTAGTGAGAGCACAAAAATAATGTTTATTTTGTGGCAATTGTAGTAAATGAAACTGCTGTTCCAGGTCTCTCAAGCTGATGGTGGAATGTGTATTTCACTATTGGTTTGGTCAGAAATATTCCAAAGTCTAATGAAGGGAAGATCAGAATGACTCAAAATATTTTGACTGACAGGAATAATGCATTCTAAATTTTTCAGGTAAAGATGCCTTAGAGCACAGTGGGATGTTGCTTGTGAATTGTTTCATAAACAAAAAATGCTAAGTATTTTTCATGCTGAACTGGTCACAGTGAATTAGATGAGAAAATTCATGCGTGCATTGAAACAACTGGGATTTCACTTCGGCTTTCAGCTAAATACCAGATCTAGAAAATAGCTCCCCTCAACTTTGTTTTTCACTCAGATTTACTTCTGTGTCTCATGAAATCAGTGGGAATGCCACAACTGAAAATATCACTTGCTGCATAAGGATGGCAAAATTGGAGACTGTCTTACTGTCAGCTGAATCAGTGGTGTTTTAAAAATAGCAGTATTCTTCTAATTAGAGGAGTAAGGACCATCCTCAAAACAGAGAAAACACTCTTAATTTTTTACTATTTAATATGTTTAAAGTTTTTGTTTAATATTCTCAAAACTGTAAGAGTGAGGATACATAAATCCACCTTTGCAGGGAATGTACTTGTGTTTTAATTTCAAGGATTAGTAGATTGTGATGAATAAAGGGAATTTTTTTAAAAGAAAGGGGCTATGTGGCAATTATGTTTCCTGTGTCTGTAACATGGTGACATTCTCATGTGACATGCAGGGGACTCCTGTAGCTTGAGTATACAAATTTAACTTCTGGACAACTGGCAGGCAAGAAATGCCTGCCTGGAACTCAGATCTGTAGTCATGCTGTAGTCACCCTCCACTCTGAGGTCTGGGAATGCAAAAGTGCTGCTGCCTCCCTGTTCCACTCACAGCGTTTGGGGCTCACAGGGGTGTATTGCTCTTCAAGGATTCTCTGAAATCCATCCCTTCAGGGCAAAAGAGTCAGGGTTTTGGAAATGTGCTAAATCCCCAGCACTAATCCTGCTTTCATTCTCCCAGTGGTGGTGCCTTGCTCACTGGAAATCTTTGATTCCCCACCAGACAACCTCATCTCCACCCTGCTTCCAGCAGGAAAGCTGGACTAGATAAGCTCCAGAGAGCCCTGCCAACACAGACTGTCCTGTGGCTCTGGGCTAACTTAGGAGAGAAGGAAGGAACTCAGCAGACAAGCTACAGCCTGAAAGAAGGGCTTTGAAATGTTTAGAAATCATTATTGACTTTAAGCCTTGCCAGAATGGAAGGAGAAATATGTGAGGAAGTGTATTATAAGAAATAAAAGTATTTATCCTTAGTTTCCTAAAAATTAAGTGTGTAGTTTAGTACTTTTGGATAACAAAATTATGGTAAGGATTCCATTTCAAGCAACTTTTATTATAACATTGCCACTTTTTATCATTTGTTATCTTAATTTCTTCACTCTCTATACAACATGTGATAAAAGAAATGTTACACTATCATTTTTTTCTGTAATTTCACTTAATTTGATGTGTGTTGTTGTGTACTTGTTTTATGTTAACCTACTTATGGGGTTAACATTAGAGAGAAAAATAGGGGTTTTTTTCATCTAAACTGGACTGTCAGCTTCTCAGGGGGCTCTTCTGCTTTGTTTTCAAGCCGCCTTTCTTTACAGGTGGCTACTTTGTTCCAGTCCACAGAGGAAAATTCCATTAGAGATCTTGTCATTGCCCGCACTAAAACTGCATCTTCAGGGTCCTCAAATGGTACTCTGCAAAAAGAAAAAAGCAAGTCCATCACCTGAACATTTCCAAACCACTTCAGAACTAATTCACAAGACACACTCTCTGGAAAATGAAAGTAGCAGTCATGATGATACTAAAGAGGGAGGATTTAAAAATTTTAAGTTTTCAGAAGGTTTTCTTCTACCAAATTTAGGAAAGCAGAACAAAATGAAAAAAGGTTGGAGTAATGAGATTCTTTTTGAAAAAATCATATATAAATTATTTAAAAAGCATTTATAGTAGACTTAAAAATGTTTCTTTGTTTTCAATTTTCCCCCCCCAAAAGCTGTAATTATATACTTTTAATGCTCTGATTCAATGGACATGATTGAAGTGATTTGGTACCCATTACTGGAAATGCACATTTATTTCACTGTGGATCTCTTAACTAGCCCACAGGCAAATATCCATTCTCCAAGCTCTGAATCCAGATCCCTGTGAGCTTGTGTTTGTGTATCCTGCCACAGCTGCTGTCTGGGAGAGAAAAGCAGCAGATTCTCACCATCAGAGCAGCACTGACAAGGAACTAACACCTTCCAACTCACATATAATATTAAAACTTTGTCTTACAAGAACTTATTTCTTAAAGATGTCCCTGTACTAACACACCTCGTAGAAGCCACAGGACTGTCTCCACTGAGTGTCATGAACTTTGTCATGAAAAGACACCTTGCAAAGCCTCAGCATTTCCATAAATGACTCCAGGCAGCTGTACATCCATTCTAGCAATGAGGACAGCCTACTGCACTGAAGGCAGGTAAGACTTAATTGTTCAACAGAAATAACTTGATTTTTAAAGAGCTGTGCTCAGAGTACTGTTAAAGGATATTATATGTAGGCTCTTATTATTTCCTTCAATGCCTTTTTCAAATCTTCTCATGTGTAAAGCTAGAAAGTAAAGCCAAGCCTGATACCTAAAATTTGCTCTTTGATACCTAAATCTGCTCTTACAAAGTTTGCATCTAAACTGTCATCACATTAAAATGCAACTTTTCTCCTGTCTCAATCCAGACACAAAGATAAAACTTTTACATTTATTTCTATGATTTTGAAACTGAACAGAATAAAATTAACATCACATACAGAATAAAACAATTTCATTCTACAAGTCATAATATTTTCCAGAGAGTGTGTTTTTGAACAGCCAGTCAGGAGAACATTTTCTGGGACATAATATAGAACAGCTATTCTGATGCTCTAATACTTTGAGCATGCTTTTTCTAGTGATCAGTGTTTGATCTTACAAATAAATGGCATTTTTATGTACCCATTTCCAAATGTCGAATACCTTTCAATACTAAATTTTAGACAACAAACCTAGTGTAGAGTTGCATCTATATTGAATACAAAGACCTGAAACTGTTTCAAATGCTTATCTTTACTAGACATTTTCTCTAGTTAGGGTATTTTTTAGGCATAGGAAGAGGAACTTAAATGCTTCAGAGAGGCAAAAGGAAGAAGAAACATTACTTACCTATTAGTGTTATTTCCAAATTCTTGACCTATAAGAGAAAGTTCAAATTATGATGTTAATGGCTGTACAGCAATTTGAGTAGCTGAGAATTGATTGCTATCCTGATCCTAAACTGCTTGTTCAAATTAATTGAAAGCTAGCACATGATTTGAAATGTTTAAGATAATATTTTATTAAATTACTATGGAAGCAAGTATTGCTGGGTTTTAAGTGTAGGTAGTTTTAAGTTTTTTGTATTTTATTTCCTGTAGACATACACATCCAGGCTTTTTTTTCTTTCACAGAAAATGATGCCACTGTAGATGCGTAAGATTGCAGGGTAGAGATAAAGACAGCTGTCTGCCTGCTTTGATAATCATCAGCAAAACTAATGATTAAATATGCTTAAACTATCCTCCTTTCCCCAACCTCTTCAAAATCATTGTTAAATACACTGCTTTCAGTTTTACTATTGTGATATATACATTAAAAAAAACTTGCAGGTATTTGATTACTTTCTAAACTTTCATCTACACGATTTAAAGTGCTACAATTTCAGTTATCTATGCACAATGGTGGGATTTTTATCTTTAAAACATCAAAAGCTGACAAGGTTGTGTGGGATTTCAAAGTTGGTTCTGGATTGTGATACAAGTCTCATGGTTCCAGCTGGTATTCACCTGCTTTCTTGTGCCAGGATCATGCTGCCTTCAAGATCTGAATGGTTTAAGAACTCTATAAATTGAATTATATGCTGTTGTAAGACATCATTAAAATATTCCCAGCTTGAAAAGCATAAAGAGGAATCTGCTTACAAAACCAGATACATAAAATTTAGAACACTAGAAGAAAATATTTTCTTCAGGAGATTATCTTGTAAAAGCACTAGAGGGCATCAAAACTCTATGATGCTGAGCACTGGGAGTCAGAAGTTGATTGAGATGTTTTAAATAGAAGTAAAACTAAACATAAGACTCTTACAAAAATTTTTCAGTTATCTTTAAGGACAATTCTGTAACTACAGGGTATGACTAGAATTTATCTGCTACAATACTCTCAGTAGAAGGATTCATTGTTGCCTGCTGCTGCCACGACTACTTACTTTATGAAGCTGAGTTCTCAATGCATTTATATTTTATTACTAAAACCAATAATGTTTTATCAGAAGAATGAAAAAGAACATTTCTAATTCAAATGACCTAAAAATGTATGCCTTCCTTCGAGCATTATAAATACCTGAGGCCATTATTGGTCTTCTGGCTGGTTGAGTGCATCTGCCATATCCCACCGTAGTCCCCAGGGATGTGTCTGCTCTCTTCCCAAAAGCTACTGACTGCATCACCCAAGCCCTTTTGGGGTTATAGAGATTAAGTGCTGACTCCCTTTCTTTTTGTGTAACTACTGTTAAAAGGGATATAAAAAAATTAATTTCTATCAGTTGAAAAGGCAGCATACAAAAGGTGATTCATAAATTTTCTGTGCAGTTTTTTTAACAACAATAATAATATTAATTACACAATTTCATGGCAATTCAAAATGGGAACATGGAGTGATACTTTCTAAGGCTTTAGGGTGAAGCCCTATACAGTAAAGTATTTTCTTCTGAGTGCAGTAGGATCAGAAATTTTAAATGAAGATGCTAGAAAGCAAGATTTTTTGTGCTGCTTAAATGAGATCTGCAGAAGTAAGTAAAGATTTGGAAGTATCTTTATGAATAGCAAAAACAAATCTTGGTTTAAGACCAGTTCAATTCCCATTGGTCAATTACAGAGAAAACCCTAGGAGTGCAATCAGAAGAAAAGTTTAAGTTTTTCCTGTTTTCCACTTTAAGAGAAATAACTTTAATTTTTAAACAAATGGTTTGAGGCTGTTAAATCAAATTGGGGATGGTGGCTTAATTTTATGAACCTTATACTAATCTAGTATTTCAGCTATGGAACAGAAGTCAGCTAAACTTTTAGAACAAGTAACTGGCAGAAGCATTTTCAGTTCAGGGAAGTTTTGGAGTCATGGTGTCTAGGGGACCAATTAGGAAGGAACTGCAGTAGTCATGCCTGAAGGTAGTGGAACATGAGCGCATGTGTTGTGTGAAGGAGAAAGCCAGGACTGTGCTGGTAATGTTCTACAGATGGTGAAGAAGCTTTGTAATGTTTTAGAGAAATATTTCACTAAATAGAAAGTCCAGGATACAGTTTGATACAAATTACTGCCTCAAGTCTTAATCCAGGACTGATTACAGTAGAACTGTAGTTAGGAGACGAAGTCCAGGAAGTTTAAGGAAGTGTTTCTAGACATGTAAATGCAACACGCATTTTTCAGCACATTAAGCTTCAGTCATCACTCCCCAGTCAAAAAGTGATATTTTAGTAGCAGCCTGGCAGATGTGCTAAGCACAAGTGTAACACAAGAGCAAGTGCTCAGGAGAATGGAGGTACCTGTGCAGAATGACTGTGTGAGCAAATGGGCACCTGGTCAGATCCAGCAACTCCTCATCAGCCCCTGGCACCTGCTGGGGCCCATCCACCAGCTTTCCTACACAACAGCTGCACAGCTTCCCAGCACCTGCAGATGTCCTGCACCTGCCTTGCTTAGTCCTTTTTCAAGGTGCTGGATTTTCCTTACTACTTTCTTACAGAGCTGAGGTAGGAATCAGCTACTTTCTCAGTGCTCTCCAGTAATTTTCAGTCCTGTCAGTCACACAGTTCTCCTTATACCAGAGATAAAAATCACCAAAGGTGATTTTCTGGGTACATTGTGGCATGTTTATGGATTCGTTGATGTGAAATCTGGCTATTCTTAAGAAATTTTTTTTTCTGTAGAATTTTCAGTAGACAAGCTGTGAAAGATCTCTTGATAACGTGTGGATATTTATTATATTTGAAAGCTTGTTCTGCATTTACCTTATCAAGAAATGTGCATATATGTACTTAAATTGTACAGAAACATGTACAAACCAAAGTAAGCACACTCACCCATGTGAATATACCAGTGAATGCACAGAGATAGGTACACATTTCTAAGCACGTTTTTATCTTTACTCAAATAGACAAAGCTACAAGAAAAAACCAACATAATTTAAAAAGAAATCAAAAACATTTGACAGTGTTTATGCCATGCAAACTCTTTTTTCTTGATAAATCTTAACAAAAAACAGGTATCTGGTTCATTAGTTCTCTTTCTCTATCAACAAATGCATGTAAAACAACAGATAGGATAATTTCACCTATGTTTCCAAACTGGTTAGAACCAAAAGACACTGACAGTGCTTTGTGAGAGAGGAAAGCAATCCTTACACTTCCTGTCAAGGAGCTGAACTGAAGGAAGGAAGTATATCACATAAAGCCGGTAGTCTGGATCATATTCCAGAGGGTTATGGAATAGGTCTGCAAAACATACACAGAAAAAAGCCCCAATGTCACAAAAAAGCAAACCCAGCAAAACAACAACTTTGCAAGGCAGGAAAATTAAAGGCACTAGGAGCCAAAGATTTTGTACAAAATATCAAATTCAAATTGTTCTTAGGCTGCATAAACACTTTACACATGTGAAATTACTCATCTAAACATGGACTGCAGGAACTGACTTACTGCAGAGTATGCAAAATACCACGGGCAAGATCTGAGTAAAGGTGTCATCATGCACTCCAAACCTTTATAGCAAAAAACACTGATGTGTTTGCCTTTGATTTTCTTATGTAGTGTTAGGTAATCCCTATTTTAAATAGCAATGGTCTTTTATGTGTGACAGCTTAAATGTAAGACACAAAATTTGTAGGAAGATGGAGTTTTTAATATCAGATGAGCTTTAGTACACCTAACACTTTATCAGAGCTGATAAGAGGCTGTATCCCACAGATACAATATAAAATGCAAATACACAGCCTTCTGAGATTTTGACAGATGATGAGTTTGAAAACTCAAGAAACATAAGAGAATGTTTCAGAGGGCCTAAATTCCTAAGAACCTGGGTTCCAGTTGCATTCCTCGACTGGAGATACCAAGCTCCAAAAGCTCATTAGCAACTTGGCTAAAATGTTTATGTTCAGGTTCAGGTTACCTGTCTAACCAAACCTTTGCAGCACAGAGACAGGTATCAACCCTGTGCTGCTGCTTGGCCAGGTGTGGAACATGAGCCTAGCCCACTGCCAGTTTGTTTAGTGATAGTGATATCTCAGGCTGATTAAAACAGAAACTGGCTCATTCACAGATGAGCTAATAAACAAGCAACTGTTGTAGGGTGGGACCTCTTTTCTAAATAAAAAACATTATAATGCTTTTTATCTCCTTATACAAATGCTGTTCTTCTAAGACAGTAAAAATAATCAGGAGGCTGTCACCTTGACATGAGAGCAGGGTAAAAAATCTTAAATTAATCATCTTTACAACTACTGCTACAGTCTGCAGTCATCTGTTTTTCTCTTTCTGAGGAAAGACTGTGGCTAATACTTGCTCTAGGGTAAAAAAATATGTCATTTAGCAGTTAGGGAGAGGAAGATGGTATTACAGAAGCAAGTAAGAGATAGCAGAAGAAAAAAGTCCGAAAATATTCCACACAGATTTGTAATCTACAAGATGTAATTTCATGTTCTTCAGGACTGCTGAGGGGGCTCAATGCTTCATGGGATTTAGCAGCTATTCTGAAGATGCAACAAGGCTGGAATGAGCATTTGTCCTCTCCTTCATAGAAAACACCTGTTCATGTATTCAGAGGAGAACTTTTTATTTTAATTCTTTTACATATTTTTAAAAATGCTGTACTTAAAATTAGTAAAACACCCATGAGGTGGCAGCAAAAGAAAGTTCTATTTTAACAGAATGAATTTCTTTTCCTAGAAAGTGTTAATCAGAAAGAATATTATGTATGTATCTGGTAAGTCTATTCTTGAGTCGAGAAAATATACTATAGCACTCCAAAGAGAAAAATGTTTCAGAAAGATCTCTAAAAGCAGGTATGTTTGGTAGTGGAATAGAATAAAGATTCAAGAGAATATTTTCCAAGGCACAAAACAGTCTGATATTAAACTTGTGAATCTGGATGCTGCTTGGATTATGTCCCTGCTCAACAACACTGATTTGTAGGTTTGTTTTAGGGAATGTGCACTTTTCTACTCCTCATTTTTACAATAAATTCAACCCTTGTACAGATCAAGATGGTTTTGTTTTACAAAACATCTGGGATCAATTTCTGGCTGAGCTATCTACTTTCTTGTCAAGGTCATGCAATTTTAGTTGTACAAATTAGGATAATGCTTTCTTCCTCCACAGTTTTGTCTGTTTTCTCTATTTGGAGTGTAGGAAAACAGTGTGCCTCTGCCACATGGGGCAGAAACATAGTGAACAAGAGAGTTTTCTGAGGTCTAGCAGCAGGATGTTATCAGCTGTGGACAATAAATCAGTTGAGGCAATTTACAGAGTACGTAACAAAAATCTTGGATTCCAAAAGGGAGATGTGAGCACAGGGTGAGCCCATAAAGCAGCACTCTGAATCTCCCAAAAGGCTGCAGTTGTAGGCAGCACGTGCAGTAAATCTTTTGAAGCTGAGTGTCTTCCCTAGACACCTGATGAAGGATGGTTGTTATGCTACATATCCAGTGCAGGGCAGTGGCTAAAATCACAAGAGAGCCTTCAGGAAGAGAAATGCAACATTTTGGCAGCTGGATGCTACTCCTGAAGCAAACAATAATAGTGTGTTTTAATAGTTCTATTGTCCTCAAGAGCTACCAAATAATAAAATGTTGTTAAGCATCCAGAAGCTCTATTGAGGTTAGCAACTGACTTTTTTTCTTTAAATCAGATTAGCAATAAAAAAGATCTACCTCATAACAGTGAGAAGTCTCACTGGTTTTGTTTTATAAAAGTGAGTTATGGGCACAGCCCTTTGCAAAGCTACACAGTGCAAATTCTGCACCCATTCAATATTTATTAATATTGCAAGAAGGCAGATAAATTATCTAGTAATACAATATATAGGATACGACTTTTAGAATTTATTTTGTTCATTTACTGATTTAATTTACTTCAAATATGACAGAGCATTTTATTAACCCAGTAGAGACCTGTTAATTTGAGAATTCATTATTACAAAATCCCCTTGAAGCAAACGTGTTGACAGTTTTTTTCATGACTGCAAAGGTGATGAAGGAATGACTTTAAAGTTATGATTATTAAGGTTGTTAAGTTTCTCCCACTGATTACTGTTTATTTATACAAATATTTTAACTAAACAACATTTTTTTTAAATTAGGGTAGATCAGTATATTATATATATTGTTTGATTATTCTTTCAAACACTTCCTTTTCTGTGGTGGTGGCTGGTCCAATTTGCATACAATTTTCACTGTCCCTTTGTAACTGCCATTTATAATAACTCAGCAGCACTTTAACTATCTGCTCTGTATTTCCCACAGATGGTTGCAACAAGTACAACAAACTTCCTGTGTTTGTTGAAGCTCCTTATTAACTTGTAGAGCTAACATTAAATTCAAGTGACTGCACCATTCATACATAGGATGTATCTCCAGACGCTGCCTAATCACTTCAAACAACTGCATTCTTACATGGACTCATTTTTCTATCTTGCATATAATGACAAGAATTTCAATAGTTTGGCTGGCATGTTGTCTTCCTAAACACTTGATTTGTTTTTATTAGTTTCAGTTCAGTGTCAAGTTCAATTAAAACTTTAATTTTTCATTCATATTTTCCTTTCCCACAATCACACATTCAGTTTTCTGAATGCTTAAGGAGGTGTTATGGCCTGGTGACATTCTGACATTCCCCTCCTTAACCATGTCACCAAGGCACAAAACTTGTTTACTGTCTTCTCCAAGTACTGAGCTTTTGGCATGACCTATGTTGACATTCCTTTAAGAATCATGGAAAAACACTGCTTATATTTTCATTTTCAACAGCTTAATAGCATATAATCCTACCTTCTTATATTGTAATTTAGTGGCACCAACATTGTCTTGTATAACTTCATTTGAAATTTCAGAGATGGTGCAATTTTCATTTTCAGCCAGTGTATCAGAAAGTATGATCCTTAACAGACATTGTTATGAATAATACCTAAAGTACATTTATTCTTAGACTCAAGAAATCCAGTCTGCCAAAAAGATGCAGAAAGGAAGTTCTATAAGCAAGACAATTAAAGAGGCAGGAATTTGGGCTCTATAAGCTATCACTCACAGTCTCAACAGCAGCTAACACCCATTTTTCAACTCCTTTCTCCTCTATGATAATCTCACCCTACTCCTGTGTTCCATTACAGAGAGGCCAGCTGTAAACTGCTTAGACATCATCCAAGCTACTGGCAGCCAGCAGCCAAAAAGTTAACTTCTGAACTCACTTAGCAGTTTTTCCTCAGTTGAGGTACTCTTTGTGGAATTTTCATGTCTTAGAGATCTCTTTCTTCTGTCAAATTTGGCTGAAATTGCTAATTAGCTTCAAAAGCTATTGGCAAATGATGTGGAAATAGGCAAGAAACATCCCGATAAGAAACTAAAAAGCTACTACTTGCTGTTCTGCAAAATAAAAATAAGGTATTACTTAGAGTCTGCAAGCTTATCATTCCTTTCAATTCCTTCACTGTTTTGCCAAGTTTTTTTAACTCGTTGTTGTGAAGAAACAGAATCTGTAAGGAACATAGGTGTTTCAGAGCACCTGAAATAAAATGAAAAATAATTAATCATTCTCACCATAGCTGCCTTTATTAGAACATTATTTTGCTATGCTGTACACTGAATTTGGTATTTAGTTATTTATGTATGCCTGTCTTTTAGTAACACATTGCATGAGATGTTAATTAAGCAATAAATTAAAGATATTTCAACATCCTTTTCACCTTTCTAGTCACATCCTTTAAGCACATGCCTATCTTTTTTCATTCCAATTTTTTCCATTTGTCCACATCACCCTTGCATCAACAAATCAGCCTCAATTGCAACCTCTCTTCTACCTCCCTTCATTCCTCCTATGTCCCTGTAATCTTTCCTTAACTCACTTTCTTCTACCTTGACCTAATATTACCTTTGCCTGACAAAGAACAGTATATGCCTAATCCTACCTTTGTCTTACAAGTAGTAAATAGTGCATTCCTTAGAAAATAATTCTGTTTCAAGTAATTATTGATGTATTAAAAAACTATTACAAAATATTGTTTTGACCCAGACTGTGTTCACATCCTCACACATCAAGATTAGATATCTCATTTTCCAAATCATATACAGTATTTTCTTTCTCTACTAATGATACCCTTCTGTTTATCCATATTTTGATATCATCTGTATTGTCTCTTGTATCTATGTTTATGTCTTTCAAAGATAAAGTTTGCTTGAAATCTCACAGAAACAAATCAACATCATTTCTCATCCAGCATTTAACAGGGACAGAAAAAAAAATTTAAAATGTCTAAAATATTTAGAAATGTATTATGCTTTGGCCTGTTCATTCACAAATTTACAAGTCTGGTAAAGCCATTTTAATCTACAAGGACAAGCAAAACTAAAATAGAAGTATAAGACAGATGCATTTTTAAAATAAACCAAGGTTGGCAGTAACTTTGCAAAATACTTCAGGTTATAAATTCTCAATATTAAATATGATCATGTAAGATCAAAAAAAAATTCACAATTGCCTGACATAAAGTGAATGACATTTCATCCCTTAAACCAGAATAAATACATCACCTTATTGTCACTCAAGTATGTTGGAAAAATTAAATATCTAATAATTAACATATGTTAATACATAGGATCTTTCAACCATTAAGTTACTTGCTGTAATCCAGTTTTATAAATTTGAATGACAATACAGAAAAAAGAAAGTGTAGGCCTCTGCTCAACAACTTAAAAATGGAAGACTGGTACCTGATATATCTGTCAGCTTGTTATTGTTGAGATAGAGCTCAGTCAAGTAATAGTTTTTGATTAAGAAGGTTAAATCTTCAATCTGAAATTAGAGTTAGGCAAACTGTTATATGTCACTCTGAATGTGGTGCTGGAGAATTATAAACATGGCCTCTGGAAAACTGTTTAACCACAGGTAGTTCCTTATATTTCTGTTTAAGACTCTTGGTTTAAGGATTCTCTTGACAACTGAACCTTCATTAGAAGTACTAATTACAAATCAAATATAAGCAGTAGAGCCTTACCTAAGTTTTTGAACTACACATTTAACATCTGTATTTGGAAAGAGATTTCTTTAAATGACTGGTCTCCACATTTTCTCTCCTTCTATTCATATTTGAAATCATTTTTATTGTTAAAAGACCCTTGTAAAGCATAATAATTCTACGTTGGTTTAAGAATATTCCTGAAATATGTCATTAGAATAAACCCAGAATCTTGTTTTTAAATTGCTTTTCACCAGCAAGCTCAAAGAGCGCAAAATGGTTCTTATTCATCAGAAATGTCATCTAATCATACTTAGAGAATCAATTAGAGTTACAGAATAAAAAATCAGTATGAATATGGGTGTATTCCAAATAAAGAGTTATCTTCAGTTCCTATGGAATCACACCTTGTTTGGAGAAGCTCAATTCCAATACAGTTTTGACTCCAGTGCAAGGTAAAGTATCTGCAGTGGGACAGCAAGCTGACCTTTATAATCACTGAGAAATGGGAATACTAATGGTGCTGAAGTTTTTATCTTACAGTTTAAATGCAAGAACAACAAACAGAATTTTATTCCTGACTCTGTGAATTCTGTGACAAAAAGTAGTTTGTCAGGAAAGGAATTATTTCAGTCCTTGAATTTTGCCACTGACTCTGAAATAAATGTGCTTTGCTCTGTGTATTAACAGTACCTAAAAGCTGGAAGAAAGAGCACAAGACAGAAGTTTTTCCACTCCCTTGTGGAAGTGGAATGGTTTTCCCTATTTTTGGCAAGTTTTGTTTTCAGAATCATTGGAAGTTTGCTTTTTTTCTGATAAAACCATTAAGTACAGAAAAATATGCTGCTCCTATTGAGGCATTTCAGTAAGACTTCTCCTATGAAAAGCCACTGAGTGACTTCTCCACATAAGTTATATAGAACAACAAAAGAATGTTCTTTGTTACTGCTTAGGTAAGAAAAGTGAGAGTTGTGGAAAACTCCAATTTATTTCTCTTTTTTGATCAGCAAGATCAGTTCAGCTTAGTCATCAGGCCATTTCTTCTTCTTCTTTAATGTCCTTTTGCTATACAAGGAAAAGCCCTATTATACCTGTGATTTTAGTTTAACATTTTAATATATCTATGCATTTGCTCTTTTCAAAAATAGTTAGAGATCTTTTGATGAATTGGACATAAGATGCCATACAACTGATGCTAGCCTGGGGCAGCAGATATACACGTGCTCTGAAGTGACAGGGAATGCAAATTCATTTTTTCTGCTGCTCACAGATCTACTTATTTACCTGACTAAGCAATTCTGGAGATGGAAGAATTTGGGCTCACTGTGGAAGTCATGTAAACTACTGTACAGTAAAATATTCATACCCTGTCATCCCTAGAACTGCAGTGCTGCTTCCTGTGCACAAGGAGAAGCTCATTTCACTCTCATGTGAAATGAGAGTGAAATAAGTTTTATGTCACTCTCATGTGCATGATATCAAAAAGGAGCCTCACCTTGACCACCAGCCTGCTAGGAAATAAACTATGCATGTCTGCCAGAATATAAAAGAAGAGTCATGCCTTTCCTGCAATCCACTCCTGTCCTACAGCTGCATCACCCCTCACTCTGTTCCAAGAACTGCCCCCTCTAATTACACTGGGAGCTCAGGAATTAGCACAAAACCTCAGCTCCTTAAATAAAATTTATAAATCTAATGTGAATCTAAAGGAAAATATATTAGCTCTGTAATGTCAAATAGAGTTTTCTTCAAATCTGTTATATTTGACAGTTAAATTAGCCTGGAAATTGAAAAGAATCTATTTGTTTGACAATAGATATAATACTTTATGCTAGAAAAGACCACAAAATAATAATCAGGAAGTATAGATGCATTGTTCTGCTCTTTAAAGGAATATCTAATTACCTTATTGTTGTTAATCCACAAATACCTTAATCTACAAAACTGTGATAGACTTGGGATACTTCTTAGACCTCTGATGGGAGAAAAAAAAAGAGTAACAAATTTCTTAATGTTAATAGTGCTTACTAATTTGATAAATATTTTATTTTCCATAAATAATATTAGACAAGAACCAGAAAGGCACACTTCCTTGGAATGTATAGTACAGAAAGACACAAAGAGAAGGTGGCAGAGACAGTGTAAGCTCTCTGCACACCTGCAAACATAACAAGGCAGCAGGTAGTAAAGAAACAGGAACAAAATAAGTGATACATTAATTGCTTTTCCATAACAGCATGAGTTATGAGTCTGAGTCACATGTACTTTGCACTTTGTAGAAATCCTGCTCAGAACACAGGAGGAGAAGTTTGGCACCCTGGGGACATGAAGCTAAAAGCAAAACTGCTTTGAAGGTGCAGTGGGGATTGTCCAGCCACAGGAGACAGACATCAAGCACATCAATGTGCATTTTTATTATTTTTCATATTAGTGTATATTGTGAAATTTTGCCTTTTTTCCATTCCTGTCCTATTCTCATAGAAACTTAGTACATCCACTGAGGCTGAAATGATCTCCCATGTGCTAGTATGGTTTTATGTTCCATTGTGTATCTAGCACTTTGAGCTTGCTAGTGTACTATAAATAAAAAATTACTTACTGACCAGAAAATATTAGTGAGCTGCCGAGTGATTTTAACTAACTGCTCTTCTTTATTTTCATTGCTATAAATAAATGTTCTTAATTTCCACTAGAAAAATTATAGATTACTTTTACCTGACAATTTTTAATTGCCATAATAAAAATTTTCTTGTGGATTTTAATGTGTTGCAAGATGAAGGCCAGTGTTTCAGAAGGTAACAGGACTGATAAAAATTAACCTCATATTATCAGGCTAAAGGCATGTCTGTTTTCCAACTGTGAAGTCTGGTCTCTATCTTTCTGTGCTGTCTTTTTACTTGTTGGGTTGCTTTTTTTCCAATACACCCTCCAGGTACAGACAAAGGGAGGGTGGATGCCTTTTCTCATCTTGCTTTTGCAAATGAAAAGTCTGTCAAGAGCAAACTCTACAAAGTTGAGGCACTATACCTTTAGTCCCTTGTATTACTGAAAATCAGATTATCCTCTCATGTTGCTACTTTAAACTGTTTCTTTGGCTTCCTCAGATAAACCATAGAAACTAACCCTGCAAATACATACTTAATGAATCTACTGCCACAAGTAACAGAAAAAGACATTACTGCAAGTAGCAGGGACAAGCAGATGGCTGTTGACAGGACATGCAGAGCTCCTACAGAGCTCTTATTTAATTCTCCTGTGCCTCCCTGAACTACATTTCAGGTAGCAAAGCCAAAATTTCTTATATAAAATTCTTATATTCTTGGTCACTGCCACTCTATAACTAGATTACAGCTTTACATTTAATTGGCTTTACTCCCTGTCTAGTAACAGCCTCATCTTCACTATCTCCAAGCCTCAATCTGTTGGCTTTTTGGTTTTGGTTTACTGCTTTGCTCCTTTTTTTTTTTTTTTTTTTTTTTTTTATATTAAGGCATTTAATTTGCCCCAGGTAGAGCTTAATTCCTCAAACATTTTAAAAGAGCCTGTCCTTTTCTACATGCCTTCCAGACTTTGTATGTCTTCTATAAACTGATCCTTTTTGGCCTGCAGCACTCTTTTTCTACCTACTGCTAAGTTAATCAGTTTTCCTGGGATGACAGCTTTCAGTGTCCAAAATGCATTGTTTCATGTTCCTTTCATAGCAGTGGTTTAAAAATAAAAACTCATTCCCTCTTATTTGATTGACTTTAATTTTTTTCCATTTTCTTATTTCAGCTATCAGAAAAATACTCCAAACCAACACTAAAGGAGGCATGATCTGATACTGAGCTTGGCTGGGGTTCAAGTTTATATAAACTGATATAGAATAAAAGGAGTTCATTTCTATCCAATCATAAAGGAATCCATCTTGCATCATCTTTACCAAAATGGTTTAATGGGAAAACAGATCACTTATTTATCTGCCATGTGAGCATTTCTTTTTATTCTATACCAAAAAAATACTTGAAAGATAGTGAGGGCACACATTTAAGCATTTAAAAACAGAAAATATGCCAATTAAGATTGTATACACAGTCTTAATTCTTTACATCTGTGGTATAATAATTGTGTTGTTTAGAAAGTATGTATATATGCCCCTTGTAATTTTCTCATTATTGAAACTTCTCCCTTAAATTTTATCTTTTTTCTTCTTTCTAAAATGCACATTTTAAGCAATTTGACAGTAACTATATGTTTTACCTCACAAAGCATCAAATACTTTCTTGATGTAAATCAGGAGATATGATAAGGAATTTAAACATATTAGTGAGCAAATTTAGATTTTCAAGACCATATAATTTCCACTAAAAACAGACTTGACAACACTGAAATCCCTTAATCCCTTAAGACTTTTTTTTCACTCATTGGACCAAGAGACCTTGAAAACCTTGTCCCTAAATTATTAAACTATGTTAGTTTTTCTATATGCCATCAACCATGTGAGCAGTGGATACAGTTGTGAGGCTGCAGACAGGTATGCAACACTTGGAATTGTGCCCTGGCCAGAAATTCCAAGCCGCTTTCCCAAAACTTTGAAGTATGTCCTGTCATGTATCCATCCCTCTATGGCAGCCTCTCAGCATGTTCATACTACAGCACACACCTCTAGCAACCTAGATCACCCACAGGTTCATGAAAGTTTGCCTTCCTTCACTTAGTACATCTTCTCCTCATCTGCCCTACATCTCAAGCTGCTTCATTAAGCTCTCAGAGGAGATCAGCTCTCTCATCAGTACTGCCTGCCCAAAAGAAGTGTTCTTGTGCTTGTATTCACTTTATCTTGCCCTGCCCTCCCTTCAGTTCTCAGCAGTACAGATGCAGGTAATTTCAAGGGTGGTACCACTGAGTTTTGCCATTGCAGTAACACATTTCTTCAGGGAGGTCAGAAATTTGGCAGTTCCTAGACTGGGCAGGTCCCGTGTTCTTTCATTTGCCTTCTTGATACTCCTTCCACCCAGCCTTATGTGCCTGTTAGAACAGGCAGAGATCAGCCCATCAGCTCTCACTCCTCTGCTCCCCATGGCAGAAATTCATGTACAACTCTGTGAACTCAGAGACCCTCAAGCAACTCTGGGTTGCTGGAGACAGATTGTGTATCTAGGGATGAAGCTGTTAGCTGTGAGCACGGTGCTGCTGTGAGTCTGTGCACTTTTACCATTTCTTCATTCGCAACGTGTATGGACTATGTAAGAATATGATGTACTGGTATGTCACATATAAATGATGTTCAGAGAGTTCCTGGTACAGAAAGCACTGTGAGAGATTTCCATTTACTGTGTGCTCTACTTTTAGTAAAAGTCAAAACAAGAAACATTTTACTTACTGTCTAGCCAGATACAGTGCCACGACATCCACATTGCTCTTATAGCCACAAATCTTCAGCTGTTTTTCTATTGCCTGACAGTATACAGTACATTTGTCAGTATAATATGCTGCATTGCTATGGAGTGAATACATTGTAACATATGTGAACTCAGTATTTAAAGTAACCAAAATTAATACATGTATCACAGCCCCTTATTACAGAAAACTGTAACATAATCTAAGAGAGATAGAGAGGTATTAAAATTCCAGTCTGTATTTTAAATTGATAAAAATATTCTGGTGATTAGGCTAAACTTACAATAATTTTCTTTTCCTGTGGAGAATCATAGATGGTAGACATGAAACAAGAAATTAATATCTATTTACTGGAGAATGGGCTTCTCACTCAGGTCAGCTAATCCAGTACTTGTGATGAACAAGGAAACTGCTTACTTTGCATTATAGTTGCAACTTTATTTTATGCAGCTTTACTTTAAAACTATGCATGTGACCTTTTAAAACTATGCATCTAGAAAACTCTGCTTGTACATTTAACATTGAAAAATGCAGACACGATTTTTATTTTCAGAGTATATTATTGATGTGTCATAATTTGCAAAAGCAACAAAACCCATTAATGTAAGAATTATGGATCTCTCTTACTAGTGGTTGATAAAAACTAAAATGCATATCAGAAAAAATGGGTTTAATACATGAGCTATTATGCCCAAAATCATTATGACCACTATTGTTTAAAACACAAAACTGATACAACTTCAGAAGCACAAAATGGCTTGGAAGCACTGACAGGCATGTTGAGAGTGGCCTGTATTGGCTGCACAACCACTCCAGCGTGTTCTGGGTGTGCTAAACCTACACAAAACAACTTGCTAATGTGTGGGACGTGTGGCACTCTCCGGCCAGAGGCAGCCAGGCACACACAGGCCGCCTGTTCCCCAGAGCGCCTGTGGGACCCTGCCTTTTGCCCAGAACTGGGCACAGCCAACTGCAGATGTCGGGAAGGGCAAAGGTCTGGAACAAATGGCCATAGTTTTGTTACTACACGTGCACAATGTGCCCATGGAACACCAGGTGATCTCTGGAGAAAAGCAGCTGCTAGACACCCCAAGTGCGCCGATGTCGGGCCCCGGCACTGCGGGACACAGCGATGGGAAGGGCCGACGTGACAACGGGGAAGGCACACCTACGGCAGAGAGCACCAACCCGGGGGTAGCGTTCCACAGGAAGGCTGTGCTCAAACATTCGTATTTCGCACACTCCGTTATGCGACATCTCATCCTCTCCCCACCCTGGAGCCCCGTCCCTGTCAGCCCCGGCTCTGCGCCGCAGCACCGCGCGGCCGCGGGGGGGCCCGCAGGGCCCAGGCGGGCTCACTGGCTGCTTGGGAAGGACAGGGAAGGCTGCCCGGGCTCTCTCGGAGGATCCCAGCCGCTCGCTGCCGCCCCGCGTGGGAGGACGGACGCGCCTCGCCTCGGGGTGCGGTGGCGGTGCCGAGCACAGCGAGAGGCCGAAGCCCAGGCCGCTGGGACCGGGCGGGTGCGACGGGCCGAGCCGGGCCGGCCTCCGTTCGGGCGGGGCCGGGCGGGAAGAGGAGCGGCCAGGGCGGGCCGAGGGGAGAGGAGGGGCCGCGCCCGCTCACCTGCCCGCCGGCCGTGTCGACCGCCGCCATCTTAGAGCCCCGCTGTGGGCAGGCGCCAGGCGCGGTCGCGAGACGTGGGCCGATCTGCGCTGGGCCGGGCGGGCCGGACGCGGCCGGGCCAGGCTGGAGTGGGGTTTCGGGGCTGGGACCCCCAGCATGCACCTGGAATCACTGAATCGGTTTAAGAAAGTACCTCTGAGATCATCAAGTCCAACCTATGACTGGTCAGCACCTCCTCAACTAGATTGTGCCACTGAGTGCCACATCTAGTCTTTCCTTAAACGTCTCCAGGGACGGTGACTCCACCACCTTCCCGGGCAGCTCATTCCAATGTCTAATCACCCTTTTTGTGAGGATATTATTTCTTTCTCTGTCACAGCTTGACACTGTCCTCTGGTCCTGTTACTGGTTGCTTGGGAGAAGAGACCGACCCCCACCTGGCCACAGCCTCCTTTCAGGGAATTGTAGAGAGTAAAAGTCTCCCCGGAGCCTCCTTTCCTCCAAGCTAAACAACCCCAGCTCCCTCAGCCACTTCTCATAAGAATTGTGCTCCAGACTCCTTCCCATCTCACTTGCCCTTCTCTGGACATGCTCCATCACCTCAATGTTCTTCCTGAGCTGACAGTCCCAGAACTGGACCCAGTAGCAATAGCGTGACACTGAAATGGGAGCCCCAGCCTGGGCGTGACTCAAGACAGAGCTTTATGCTGGGGAAGGAGCTCGATGGCAAGCAAGGGATACCCACAGCGGGAGCCAGGACCTGGGGAAGGAGCTTGATGGTGAGTGAGGAGTGCCCACAGCGGGAGCCAGGACTCAGGGAAGGAGCTTGATGGTGAGTGAGGGCTGCCCACAGTGGGAGCCAGGACTCAGGGAAGGAGCTCGATGGTGAGTGAGGGCTGCCCACAGTGGGAGCCAGGACTCAGGGAAGGAGCTCGATGGTGAGTGAGGGGTGCCCACAGCGGGAGCCAGGACCTGGGGAAGGAGCTCGATGGTGAGTGAGGGGTACCCACAGAGGGAGCGAGGACCTGCAGAAGGGTCCTGGATGGACTAGTGAGGGACCCCAGTGGGCAGTGGGTAGGAGAAACTGGGAGAGACCTCTGATACCTCTGGGCTGCCCCCTGGATCATATTTGCTCACAACTCATATTTGCTTGCTTTTATTTATTTTTTTAAACTATATTCCTATGGTTTCTTTACTTTTAAACACAGATCCTATGTCTATGTATGTATAACACAGAATCACAGAATTAATTAGGTTGGAAGAGATCTCTGAGATCATTGAGTCCAACCTATGACCAAAACTCACCATGCCCACTAGACCATGGCACTAAGTGCCACACCTTGTCTTTCCTTTAAAACCTTCAGGGACTGAGAACCCACCACCTCCCTGGGCAGACCATTCCAATGTCTAATCACCCATTCTGTGAAGAAATTCCTCCAGAATACATGTCACTTATAAAGAAAAGACTTGTGCATTTAATTTACAGCTAATTCACACCGCATATATTACTCCCTTGCAACTTGCAAATCACCTTGGTGCCTGAGCGCCCCTCTTCCGTCCCGGCTCCTGGAGCGGGCCCACTGCTGTGACAGTGCTTTGGATTGAGTTTGGCTGTAAAGGAACACAAAATGTTTATGACATCCACATGTGCAAGCAACTGTTGCCATGTTGCTATTTTTATAACTATTTTACTGCATAGCACAAGCTGAAGAATAGAAAAAGCCATTTCCAGTGTGTGTGTGTGCACGCACTCATGTGCAAGTAGGACAAAAGAAAATGTTTGATCAAGCTACAACAAAAATATGTCTGAAAACTTGGAGCTTTATTTAGAATTTAATTTACGCCGAGTACTCAAGTTAGCAGAAATAGTCATTGTAAATTATGTGTAACTGATATACAAAGAACAAGAGTTGTGTGTGCAAATATATGAATAGGCTGTCCCTCATGGAATTAATTATGTGCATGCCTCTGCTTGTTCAGACCACTGAAGCTAGATGTAGTGTGTATGATGGAGGAATGGAACTACAGTACAAGTATTATATTGCAAATATCTAATTTTCATAGAAAAAATTCTGTGGGTGGCTTCCATTTCAGCTAGGTAGCTTTAAACAAATAGAAACCTCAAATAAGAAAACTAGACATGTTAAAGGTATAAAACTGACAAGAAGAATTGCTTTAATCCCTTATTTTAGCTTCTAAAAATATCTCTAGGGTATTTAAAATCATGAAGAGAGGGACTGTAATGGAGAAGAAGAAACTGGTACAAGACTTCTGTATTTTTTTCATTCTACATTCAAGTTCAGTGTTTTCCATCAACAAGATAGAGCTACCAGTTTAGAATTGTGAAAAGCAAGGTAGCTATTAAAGTCACGTTTAATAATGAAAGTGACTTATCAATTAGTCCAATTAACATGATAGGACAAGAAAATTCAGTAATTAAATATGGGAAAAGAGAGAGAGAGGGAACCTCTGGAAGGTATTTTGTTGTATTCCCCCACAGAGGTGTGATGTATGTGAGGTGAGGGTTTGGTGTTTTTTTTAAATGCTTTGGGGTTTTGAGGTGCTTGTCTCTATTAGCAACTGACATTACAGACTTAATCTGGATGATTAAATAGAGACTGTCTCAAATTCAGTAAAGTTAATATCTATTTCTTTCTGCATTTAAAAATCGACTCTTAAAATTGCCAATGAGTTTAAAGGAATTTGGGCAGAAAATGAATATTTTTTTTATTCAGACTGAACTGTGACCATATTCTACAGTGGCTTGGTATTGTTTTGTTGTTTGGTTTTTTTTTTCCCAAAATACGTAGCCTATCACCTATTCATTACTATTCCTGAATTGAATTGCTGTCCATAAGTGAACAATCATTTTTCCTTTGGGTTACTCAGAATAATGGCTGATTTGTTATACATATTTTTTCATATTTATGTAGTAAAAATATTTTAGGTGCTTATGCATGGATAAGCAGTTGCAACAAGACAACATGACTTTATAGTATGTGGTAACAGAACACAGAAATAGGGGAAAGCACAGACAGATCTGCTTTTACTGACAAAGGTGATAGAGCAGAACAGGAGGTTACTGATTTTGTAAATCATCAGGCTAGTGGTGCCTTGGGAAATGACGCCCTTTGTTCTCTACTTCAGAGGCCTCCTGGTATGTCCATGCTTTGGCCAAACACCACAGATATAGGAGATTGTCATTGTATTGCTTTAAAAACCACGTTACAGAAACACAGATTTGCTAGGGACAATAAAATTCAGATTAAACCTGATTTAAAATGTAATGTGTCTCTGTCGGATGCTGTCATGTTCTGCCCACATGCTTCATCATCTCTGAGGTAAACTCTTCTGTGGAAGAATTTTATCACAGTCTAGCAACTGACACTTGGACCATAATGATTTGATGTGCTAAATCATTCTGCCATTTCTTTACTTCTCAATGATTTTCACAGTACTTTACTGAAAAAGCAATAGCACAATAGCTCTTTGTAATTTAACCTGTTGTTCAATGGCTGTGAAAGATGAAATATACTGAAACCAATGCCTAATATGTGATATTTTTAATCACCAAAGTTTATAATTTTCAGAACTCAGTTATTTTTTGCCAATGATATTAGAAAAGGTACTGTGCTGTGTGGCTTTTCCACAAGGGTATTTTTAAAAACTGCATCTATGTGTTATAGACTCACTTAATTTACATTGGAAGGGATTTCTGGAGGTCATCTAGTCCAGCCTCTCAAAGAAAGTAGATTCAACTAGAGAATTACTTTCCATCTCACATGTTTGTGCAGTTCTGCTACTTATAGAACATCCATCAAAGAATAAAAACACTATCAGGGATGAATTTAAAATGGCCTATGTTATACTAATGATACATAGAAATTAGTACAATTAACTTGTTTGTGAGGTTATTAAATACAATTCACCTGGAAAGTGAAATGCAAAATATTGCAGATAGATGCTGTTTTCCTTTTTTTCTTCTTGTAACCGGAAATATGTTATCAGTGTTTATCAGGTGAAAGGCAGAAGCCTGAGGAAAGATCAGTAGGATATCCCACCTGCATTCCAGCTATTGCTCCAGAAGAGTGCAGTAACCCTGTAGGTCCAGTAGCTGCAAGCCCTGTGCAGATGTTTCAAATACTCAGCACTGTCTAAAGCATTCAGGAATTTGAATCACTTCTCTCACTCATGCTATTAATCTTGCTGATGGCACTGATAGCATCCCAGTGACCCTTTACCAGGTTCAGGAGCAAAATTTTGGGAGGTGGTTTTTTTTTCCCCCAATAAATAATACAAGTTGATCCTATATCTAAACAGTTCAGACTGTTTTCAGTTTGAAGGTAATGGTTAACTGCAATAGTTAGGCTGCTGCCTGGAAACATTATTAAATTTTTCTAGTATTTTGTGTGATATAAATTAATATATGATACACAATGATGGGTCTACAGAAAGAAGATAAAACAGTCCAGATACAACCTATGACAAAATTGTCTCAGTAGACTGCATCATATGGATGAACCACCTTGTTTGAATCCAGCTTCACTCTGGCTTGACAACTGAATACTACCCTGGAGAATAAAGACCACCACCACTAATGTGGACGAGCCTTCTGGAGAGGAGGTCCAACAGCTTTATAAATATTGTCTTATTGTTCTATCAGCACAATTTGGACATACCTTTCATTTCAATATAGCCAACTCTTGCCTTTGTTTCCTGGCCTTTCTGCATGCTGGAGTGTTCCTGCTGTTTGGCTTCCAAGTCTGATCAACAGCTAGAAAAGACATTATTGTCTGCTGCAGCTATTTTATGGGTATGTAAACAACATTCTGCAAACAACATCCTTATGGCAAATGATCCTGTTACTCTAGTCTCAGAAATTTGCATCCTAATCTTTCAAAATGTTGTATGTGCACTTCCACAATGGTTATGGTTTATAACTATTTTAATATTTATATAAATATACATTTATATTTATATAAAATATAAATATATATACTAAAATTGATGGTATTTTTCATAAAACACAT